TTGTCAAATTCGTCGGTTTCGGAAGACCAAAGAAGTGAAATTGGTGAAGAATTGAGAAGACATAAAAGTCGAGGAAATGAGGCAATTCCAAGAGCTCTTGAAACGCAATGGCACGCAGCAAGAATGTACCGAATCATGTAAGTGACGAGAATTTCAACCTCAGCTTTAGCATTCCTACGTAGACGAAGATTTAATCTCAAAGTAATCAATAATTGAGACACGATTTCAGACAGGGCGGTTGGCGTCAAGGTTCTTGCAAGAAACGCAAGACCAGCTCCTGAAGGAAGAATCCAGAGAACTTGCTTCGTATGTTCTCGACAATCAGTGGCTGAAGAATTGAAGACCCATTGAACATCGCAACGATCGGATGTTGATGAAAGACGTCGTTTGAGAGATGAAGCATCGATAATAAGATCTGTAAATGAAGTTGGTGTTGCCGAAAATTGAGGGGGTGACAGAAAGTGATGAAAATGATGCTGTGGATGGTGAAATAACTGGAACGAGGAGCAAACATCTGAGACGATCGAGTAACCGTCGAGCTAACAGAATTGATGGATGAGAATATTCTTCTGATTGAAGACATGAGAGTGGGATTGTAGAGAAATGCAGAAAGACTGAAGCTTCCATCATTCGATTTGAACGTGAAGATTCGACAATCTTGACGGAGAAATAATCGTGTTTTAGAACAGATGAAGTTGAAGCCAATTGGCCCGCAATCGGCTCGAATTCTTTGTAATTCATTCCCAGGAGTCGCAAACAGATTTCAGGGGATTCGAGCAACAACATCAGAGTCTCAAGGGAACTCAAAGGAGAAGAAGAACGAAGGGAAGCGTCGTCTGTTGAAGAAAATCGAGGAGTTTCTGAAAGGCAGAAATGGAGCTTGGAGGAAAGTGTTGTGCTTAATATCAATCGTGATGCGAGGCAAATTCTAGCGAGTCTGAGAAGGGTCACATCAGCAGCAGGTTCATTTGTTGCAATCAAATAAGATGCAAGAAGAGAGCACGCTGTTGAATGCAATTGATCGTCAAAAAAGCGAGGTTCTTCAGAGCAGAATAAAACTGGAAGGGAAGGAGTTTGTACTTCTTGATTTGCATGCGATTGAGAGCGATCTGCAATTTGAGTCAGAATTTTAAGAATCTTGTCCGCTAGATGTTCAGAGAGAACGACAGAAATTCTCTTATGATTTCTGAACAAAGGATGAAAAGGATTGGCGCCCGTGAATGTGGTTAGAAGGCGACAATCTGAAGGAAGACGTTGAAGTCTGTTGAATAAGAAGCCCGACGGAGAATTGAATGGAATCAAATTTGGTTCAGTGCGATAAAATGAAGGAAGAAAGCATTTTGAACAGATGGGGCCAATGCTGCTGTACATCTGAGAAGCCACACTAGCATTAGTAGCAAACTTTCTGGCTCTTGGATTGAATTGATCGGTAGCGAAAATGTTGAAGTGCGTCTCATCAGACTGAACTGCGAATTGAAGAAGCGGCGAAATTGCTTCGTTTGAATCTGTACATTGAAGTGGGCACTTGCAGGCAAATGGAATTGGAACGTCTTTGATGGAGGATTCTGTCATCGAGGCTTGTCCTTTTGATTTCGTCATCAATGCATCACTTGCGTCAACTAGATGATTGCGATTTACTACAAGTTTCAATTTAACGCGTAATGGTAAAAGTTTGACATCAACGGAATTGAGATTATCAGAAGATCTAAAATTGATTGAACTTGAATTAAATGAAGTTGAATGATCTTCTAATGGAGGAATTGGAAGAACGGGAATATCCTCAGAAATCTCCCGTCCGACCAAAATCAAATCAAGAACCATGAGTGGAATCAGAGCAGCGTGTGATAGATGCCATGGAAAGTTGGGTGTTGTAATTAAATGAAACTGATCGAGTAGAGTCCTGAATGAATCTATTCTGTCTTTCTCATCAAAGTATCTCTCAACCGCTAAACGTAAATCGACCGAACAAAATGAGTTTGATTCCAGACGACGACGTTTCCTTCGATGCGTCTCCCCGTCATCAGAATCTGCTGCTGAATTGGGACATGCTGCTGAATTGGGACAGATCGCAGGAAGCGGGAACGGAAGGCGCGATAAACCTGTTGAATAAAACAGATTCATATTAAAGCATTTGAATTAAAAGTACCTTCAATAATGTTATTTAGAAGAGGAACAACACCATCCATCCAAAGAAGACTTAAAATTTGTTCCCGAATAAAGGATTGATTTTGAGAAATGTTATTGCAGAACTGGAAAGAGATCAATGGATGAAATAGTCATCCACACTCTACATCAGCGAATGTTATTGAGTGACTCACGGAAATGATCTCGGTAAGGATCCAATTGATGGAAGACGGAATAATCACTCGAGTGATGGTGGGTGAATTTAATTTTGCTAGATGAACTAATAGACGAGTATGAAGACGAATTGCAGCCAATGATGAACAAGTGTGGGACGGAGGGGTCGAATTGCTGGTCTGATAGATGAATGAGAATGAGTATTTAAATTCTTGTTCTTACATTTTGAAATATTTGGTGAATTCTAGCGAGAATTGTTTTCACTAGCTCTTCCATATTAATCATTGAATTAGCGTAAATTCCCATATTTATCGCAGAAATAAACAACCTGATCGTGTCAAGAATGAGAAGCTGCCAATCAAAAGTAGAATATTCGCCCTAAGGAAGGAGAGCAGTCACATGTGAACAATGATGCTTCTAGGATCATCAATAATCATCATCAGTGATTTATGCGCTTACACTTTCTGTTGATGAAAGACTGTTGAGAAGAGCGAGTGGCTGTGGAATATCATGACGATTAAAGAGAATCATAGAACGAAGGATTAGAAGATAAATCGGGAATGATCCTCCTATAAAAGAGAATGACTTTGACAATGAAGTGAGGCATACCAGTAGGGGATGCCAGAAGGTCAGCGATTGGTTGGAGATAGAGACCATGCCATTCAGGTGTAAGGAGGTCATGAGAGAGTGCTGCTGAAAGTTGAAGTATTTTGAAAGGAGTGAGAAATGACGGTGAGAGATGGAATGGTTGATGCGTTGATGGTTGGGATTGGATGAAAGATTGGAATGAAGCACAACGAGGATCAATAGAGGAAATCAGAAACAGTAGAAGCGGAAAAGGTTGATGATCATGAAATGGAATTGGAGAACGATAAGATAAACGAATATCATTTCGGCAGATAGAATCAATCTGAAGAAGGAATGAAAGAGAGAGAAAAATTGTTGAGAGAGACTAACGTGAGATGCAAAAATTAAGAGAGGATCATCTGGAGGATCATGAAAGAGAATCGAGCGATCGATAATTCTGAATAAAGAGATCAATTCGGGATTGCTGATTGAAGTCTTATTTCTGTCCCAAATATGGAAAGCTGTCCCAATGATTCGATGAAATCGCGTGATTGAAGAAGGATTCCGATCTTGGGACACTTTGATTCCCTTAAGACTTAAATGAATGACATTCGATAAACCAGACATGAGCCTAAATATGAAATCAATTTCAAGAATAAGAGAAACGAACAGCTCACTGGCTTAGCGCGATGTTGTATGATTCATTCGTCTCGGAAAAATGATTTCGGAGAGTTTCCGAAAATATTGAAACTCCGTTAAGAAGATCAATCGAGCGATTGAGAAGTTCATCCAGAAATGTTTCTCTTTGTTGGTGAGGCTCACCACGCGATAGGACAATTGAAGAAGCAGACAATAACTGAAAATCCATCACTCCAATTGATGACGTTGAGAGAAACTCCTTCAAGGACGCTTCCGATAAAAGCAAGAAAAAATTCATTGCGTTCATGACAACCTCCACAAATTTTGGGAGGAAAGGCGCATACACTCCGCGTTCATGTAGATGGGCCGTGAGAGTACCAATACACCTGAGAAAAAGCGGTAATTTACGCGGCGGGGAGGAAAATTCAATTCGAGGCCACCGTCTGAAAATTAATGATCAAAAATAAGGAGAAACGCATAAGTAGAGCTCACTGATAGAATGGTGTAACATTCTCAAACTCGATTTGGGACTTGCACACACGAAATAGACTATTGTATAAATTGGAAAATCCTTTCCATGCGACATCGGATGGAACAAGACGATGCGGGAGATCTACGAAAAAGATATTTTGACAAATATGATCTAAGATTAAACTATTTGGTCAATTCAGATTCACCTTCGAGGATATTCAATAGGGACTCAGCAAGTTCTTGTTTCAGAGATGGTTTGCTTGGAACTACAACTCGCGCATCAATCAGTTCAATGCTCATATACACGCAATCCGACCAAAGCGTGATGAGTCTGTTCGATTTCTCTTTCAGGGCGTCTGCTAAACGACCCTCGTGCTTGTTCGGAATACAACCAGCTATCAACCAAACGGTCGTGTCACAAATTTGGGACACCGAGGCAATCGATGTCGGTTGTGTTCCATAGAGTTCTTGTTGAAGAAGAGTGTGAGTTTGCTCAATTGCTTTTTTAACAGAATTGAATGCTTCGCGGTTTAGTCGCAACGTTGAAGAAAAACAGACGCTCAATGGAAGTTGAGTGACACTCCGATCCAAAGCAAACTCTAATACTGGAGACGATGCATGATGAAGAGCATCCATTGCTTTTTAGAAGAAGAACCAGGAGTGGCGCACTGCGTCTCCAGATTTTCAGATATCAAAAAAATGCCAGAAGGAGAAGCAAAACATCCCCCATTGAAGACTCAACTCAAAGCAGCTTCACGTAAAGCCTGCTGGGAGGCGAAGGATTCCTATTTTCAATGTTTGAACGAAGCGGAAGCTCGCGCAAAAGAAGAGACAACCAATAATCGCGTGGCCCAAGAGTGTCCCAAGGAGTGTGAAACTTCTCGGAATTTTTTCAAGGGCCAATGCCCCGCTGCGTGGGTGAAACATTTCGAACTACAAAGAACCACATAATATCAGAAAATTTTTCTTGACGTTCCGTTTTTCATTCACAAAACGTACAGGAAAAAGGACCACTGCAAAGGAAGATGGTAAGAAAAAGGAAACCAACAAAAAAGCAAGCGTCGACATCAACTTCAGAAAGTCAAATAACAGACCTGCTTGACGCTGCAGCAAATTGTTTGTGTTCCTTTCCTCCCGATGAGGTTGCAGCAGCAGCGCTCTACGAGAAAGCTCTTGCTCTGGACTCCACGAATATTCAGGCTCTCTCCTGCTTTGCGGAGCTTCTTTGTACCGCCGAGAATCCATCCGTGCGAAATGAAATCTCAGCGATCGCTTATTTCAAGAGAGTGATCCAGGCGGACCCCGTCAACAACCCACAGAGTCACTTCTATCTCGGACAGCTTTTCGCAGCGCAACCGGGAGGAGCAAGAGAAGCTGAATCGAACTACAAAGAAGCAGTCAGACTTTTGCAGGACCGACTGGTGAGTCTAAGCTCTCTTTTATTCCGACATCGCTTTCTAGACTCTTGCAGGAATGAAGAGAGATGTGGAAGAAGTGCTAGCCATAAGACGCCAAATGTCAAACGCATGCTGTGCAATTGCAGAACTCTACATGACCGATCTCTGGTGAGTGATCGCAAGAGTGACCAGCATTGATTTGATTTTGGATTTGTTTTTAGCGACGAGCCAGAAGCGGAGGCTCGCGTCGCTGAATGTCTTAATATGGCAATCGAACTTGATCCCGAAAATTTTGACGCTTATACGGGATTAACAACTTACTTCAAAACGATAGGTACAATGGTTCCGAGCTTATAGAAAACCAATCTCGATTATCTTCAGGGAATCTAGAGGAAGCAGCTGAATCTGCGGAAAAAGCTTTAATTCTTTTCAAAAGGGCGAAAGCACAAGCAGGTGGATCAGCACAAGCTTCAGAATTTTTTATTTATTGTTTGTTTTAGAAGCAGAAGATCTTGATCATTTGATGTCAGCAGCCCCAAATGAAACTGTAGTTGAAGTTCCTGAGTGGAATTCACGATTATCGCTAGCTGCATCTTTGATCGATTTGAAACAAACAATTCCAGCAAGCGAGTTGCTCGAATCTTTAATAGAAGAGAATGACCAAGACATTCAAGCGTGGCATCTGATGGCTTGTAATTTCCTCGTCGCTCAAGATTTTGATTCATCAGAAGATTGTCTTGATTCTGGGAAAGAGGTTCGTCTTGACGCATTGCTGGCATGATTGCATCCCTATTATTGGCCTTCGTTTCAGCTTATTGCAAGAGCAGCTAAACAAGCTTCTATCGGAGACGAGGAGCATCAAAATTTTGTTTCGCATTGGACAAGAGTGTTAGCGGCGACTGAACAACAAATAGAAAAATCAAGAAGTATTGCCCCTCAACAATCTGATCCCTAATTTTTTCTCCTTTTTCTGTCTTTCTTTTTTCAATGGTTCAACGACGACGGATTCTCTCTTGGGAGAAGACTCGCCGATGCAGGCGGAAGTGACAAAGACCAAGAAGACTGAGTGCTACGGAGGACACAAGCACCCGATAAGGGCTTTTCCATCCAGTACGCGTTTCATTGAGGCGCCAAGGTGGTTTGGAAATGTGGAACACTTCATGCTCTTCTGGATGAACTGGGTTGTAATAAACAGAGAAGCATGGCGTGCTGTTGTTTTCGTTTTCGGTTGAGGAGAATGCAGATTTGATGATTGGGAAAGTAGAAGTGTTTTGCGCGAGTATTTCAGGGAGGGGATCATTAAATTCTTTGGGTCCAGAACTTTCAAAAATACTGAAATTCAGACGGAGTAATTGAACACCAGAAATCTCTGGTTCATCCGGCTTCTCTTCACTCTACAAAAACACTGCAGTCACTGACAACGTTGGAGCTTCTCACCTGGGTTGGATTGAATGAGTAAAAAATCTTAAGAAATTCTCCAGGAGGCTTTTTATGCTCCAATGCATCCAACAAAACAAGCTTAACAACTTGAGCGCGATGGATTCTTGCATTTGTTACTTTCCATTGTTCTTTCTGTCTGTCAAGCGCTATACGTCTTAAGGCCTCAATCACCCCTACAACACCAACACACGTTGCAGATCCCCCCAACAGAATTGAGAAACCCCTTGCCTTCATTCTCCAGGTGCGAAACCACGAACCTTCAAACGGGAGCAAATATCGGCAGGCTGCCAAAGCTATTTATCCTAGTAGCGTGTTTTCTGTCTACATGATGATTGACGTATTCAACTCTATTCCGCTGTTTCAAAAAAAGTAGGAGCTTTCAGCAATTCGGTCTTTCAGACAGAACTGTCAATTTAGATGACAATCCAGCAATCAGGCCTGCTGAGGATATTCGGTTCTTTTACGATATTCACAGAGAAATTGTCGCGCCTTGAATCCCAATGGAGTATTTCGCTGAAGCATTTGAATGTATGCTGCCGGAAGAACCCAAAACTTGAACGTTACTCCCCACAATATACCAGAAAGAAGTGAGCATCCAATTTTCCATCTTTGAGGCAAGCGTTCCAGTGTTGGGGAATATCGTGTTGAATAATAAAATCCTACAGGGAAATAACTTCTCTAAGATTAATTTATTATTCAGATAATTTCAAATTGCTATTTCTAATTTTAATTGTTATCTAGTGAATATCTTGACGCGGTACTTGAATGTGTGTTGTTCTCACCGAATGAACCAGTTGCAAATCCAATGAGTTGAGCCTGAAACACTCGCCCCAATGGCCTTGTTTCCGCGTAACTCGCTCGGTACTTGGTTTCATCAATCCATGCTTTCAAATTGCTTCTAACAACTTGACATTCCACTCGTGTTATGCTTGACACATCAAGTGGTTCTTCGCCAAATCCAAAACCGCTTTGCCGATATTTTGGATCTCGATAAATGACTCGACCTGTTCTTACGGTCGGTCTCAATGAAAAGTTTTTGAAGGATGTTCTGTTTTCTGTTTCGCTCGAATGTTTCTTGTCTGATTGAACCACTTCAGAACAATCATCATCATTCACTTTCAAGATAGCAGTACCGTTGTTTGATGGATGTTTATACAGTTTCGAAGGGGGAGCAACACTTCTAGGGATGTTGTATGGAAATCCATTTCCTGATGATCCGTCAAATGACTGCACGGATATTTTTTGCGAAGCCATTTTCTGTTCAGTCAAGGTCCTTCACGATGTCTTTTGTCAATTCAACATCTCAACTCTTTCGTCACAAAATCGCATCTTTCGTTCCATCCTTCTCGTTCGCAATACGCGAATTCTCATCTCTTAAGCCTTACGGTCCCTTCTCCCCAGTAGCGCCTTCAGTTCCCCTCATCGATGTTACTGCTAAACAACTTCACGTGGGATTTGATTTTCATCTTCATTTTTCCACTTCGTATCATTTTTTCAGAAAATCAAATCATTCCCAGAGTATGAATCGCTAATTTATAATCCAAATTTTCTGATAGTTGCGATGTTCACTGCAAAATGTTCAACGTGGAGCAAACCTCTTTTGAATGAATTTGAGGCGATGACCCAACGCCAAAATGCTTTAGAAAGGGCTTCGACTCCAGCGACGGGCAAAGATGTCCCAAGAGTGTTCCTTCACATCGATGTGGATGATTGTCCCCGTGCGGCTTACCATGCAGGTGTCGACGTAAGCCCATCACTTGCAAACCTTGAATCAGCATCGAATTTGTCAGGATGTTCCAACTTTTGTTCTAATGAAGGGAGATGATGCATATCGACGGAAAGTCGCTCCATTAAATAGATCGATTTATGAAGGAATGATCGAAAAATTAAGAGACGTAGGATTTCTTGATGACTGAATCTTGTATCAATTCACTTTTTTCAGGAAATTGGATCCTTTGATAGACTTCCCATTTCGAAGATAGAAAACTTCCAATCGCCAACAGCTTGGTACGACCACAACATCCGAATTGACAACCTCAACGCACAAAGACTTGGACTGCCAACACGCTAGTCAATCTTGTGATTCATCCACGTTTTTTATCAAATATCATCTGTAGCAATTGCTCTGAACCAGAAACCTGATGTTCCAGAATCTCAAGCGTTGGTTTCTAAAACGATTTTCGGATCTCAAGGAAGTCCAACATCAAATTCCTTCACGATGGCCTTCACTCATCCACTCTTCTCCTCCGCTACTCAGGGAGTTCCATGCCCGCGTCCCAAACCGTAGCAAGTTGTCCTTTAATGATTCCAAAATCAACATTAATCCCTTCGCAAGAGTCCAATGGTAACTTATTAATCCATCCTGAAAGAATACCTGTTGGTTGCATGTTGAGATACATGTGGTCATGTTGGGACATCATGTGATTCACGGTTTGGGTCTTGTAGGCAAGCGGAACCGTTTTTGAGAAAAAACATGCCAAGGGAACATTTTCTTGCCAAGCCACACATTTCGCTCAAGGCGATTACAGTAACGAACACAGACAAAGGGACGTGGCATGTCATCGACGGGCGGGGCCACGTAAGCATCATGGGGGAGACGGACATACCTGGTTTCCCTTTCCAGTCTATTGGGACGCTTGCGGTAAAAATCTCTCTTCTTTTAAGAGGAAAAAACCGCGTGGATTTCAAACCAGAAGTTCCACCACGTGTGAACGTTATTGTTGTGAACGCAGTCCATCTTCAATTCAAGGGTCACACGTGGGACACGAAAGTTTATCATTTCCAGCGCCGCAGTAAGTCAAGGCGTTATTGTCTGAATGTAAAGTCGTTCGTTCAAATCGAGTCTTTCAAGCACATTCTGATGTCTGCAGCACATTTTCGCGGTCCCACAACCGTCACGGCAAAAACTGTTTTTGTTCGAAACCCAGCGATGCCGGTCTGTTGGTTTATCATCTCTCGTGTTTGCATGACAATTATGTTTGTTCAGCTCAATTACGCAGTTCGTGGAATGTTGCCAAAGAATCTGCTACGAAACATCCACTACAAGTGAGTGACTTTCTATTGTTTGAATCACAATTTGTTCGGCAGGAGACTTTATATTTACGGTTCAGCAATTCATCCTCATTGGGGCATTCCACAAGTTGTTGTTCCAAGATTCACACCCGAAGAGCCAGAGTGCGGTGATGTCTTCTCCTTTGAAGCATGTCCTGATCCACGATTGAAGAGATGCGTCTCTCAAGCCCCCGTTGCCCCAGTGTCGTCTTAACATTCGACTGCTACTCCATCCTTCAGCGGAGGTACAAGTTATGAATAGTGAAATAATTTTGAAATCTTTTTGTAGGGATTACTCGATCTTCGCTTGGCCTCATCACTTAGAGAATTTAAGACTCTTCTTCTGATTTGATTATCCGACTCTTCATGATTGGGAGATACGAAGTGATTTGCAGTCCGATCAGTCGGTGAATAGTGCGGTCTCGCAGTCGGTGAATAGTGCGGTCTTGCAGTCGGTGAATAGTGCGGTCTTGCAGTCGGTGAATAGTGTGGTCTTGCAGTCGGAAACTTCTCTGGTCCTTTGTGCATGGACCGATCAAGCGTTTGTGGAACGCGTCGACCTTCTTGTGCCGATGGATTCCTGACTGATTGTTGATCCAATCGGATTTTGGTAGAACAAATTTGTTGTGGTTCTTCGTAGTGAAATTCCTTCAAAAATGAAACGCTTTGTAGATCATTTGCATGCAATTCAAATGTCACAAGTTCATTAGAGATCTCCTCTTGTCTCCTTCTACAGACAGGAAGTCGCTTTTTTTCGGCGTTCCTTGAAGGAATTCCATCTTCATGATGGGATCGATTGGATTGAACGCCAGATGTCGGAAGGAACGTATTCCATTCTGAAGCGTTGCGTTCTTGCGCGCGTCGACTGGTGAAGATAGAACGACTTGATTCACGTGACTGTTCGAATTCTCCGACAGTCGCCAATCCTGTTGATGGAAGTAGCGGAGATTTAAGAGAGGGACACTCTCTTCATGTCAAGTCTGGGAACTGGCATTCGTGGAGTTGAACCATTGATTGGTCTCGATGTCCAATTGTCATTTCGATTCGATGTGAATGTTGAGACTGTAGAAGCTTGAGATGAAGTCAAATCTAGAGGGTGTTTGGTATCCGACTGAAATGGGGTGGAGTGTCGTGAAGGCGAAGGGTTGGATGGAGGTGAACGAGGAATGACCATGTTTGGTGACGGTTGCACCGGACGGGACCCTCTAGACTGTGGGGATGATGATGTGCTTGAGCCTTGGGATGGTATCTGTTGAGACCCTCGATACGTGCCTGACATGAATGATAATAATGAATTGAAAGGGATCATTCATTTTCGTACAATCCGTCATTTTCGAAGGACGAGCCGTCAGCGGAACTTTGAGTTTGTCCGTATCAGACGGACGCGACGGACGAGCAGTTTGATTTCCTAGGTTTCGTTTTGCCATTCGGAACATTTGTTCGCGTGCTCTTTGCTACAAAGATAAGATGTTTTCTATAAGTTGTCGTGTAATCAAAATCACCTCTTTTTCGTGATTCTCCATGTGAGCAGCGTACAATTCAACCCAAAATTTGTACAAACGTTTAACAAGTTCAATTCCATCCTTAGGAGTCTACGAAGATGTGATGAGTATTTTTATCGTTTTGATTAGAAATCAGAATCATCGCACGAAGATCTTACCTTGCCTTTGTATGCAAACAGCTTCAAGAGAGTTTGAAGTTTGTGTTCTATAGATTTTGTCGCTGCTTGAACTGATAGAAGCTCTGAACGGGAAAACTAAAAAGCAGAAATCAAAAAGTTCGAGACAGCTTCTGTCTTACTTGAACGAATTGTGAAAAGACATTCAAAAACGGTTGTTCATCGCAATCCACGTTTCCGCTATTCCCAATTCTTTCGATTTCTTTCTCAACTTTTGTGATTTTGGCGGACAGTTGGTTTGAGAGAACGACAATATCGTCATAAGACACGTCCATCGCAATCTGCGCTCCACCAATAGAATCGCGAAGGTCTATCCAGAAATGAGCATTTTGGCGTTCAACTGTTTCTGCAATAAATCTGGAAATTAAGAGAAATTTGACTGTCAAGACGCGTTGATACAAACAAGCTCCAATCCAGAATTTCGGACCTTAGCAAATTTGTAGTCCCATCAACGCTCTTCACTGTCCGTAATTGGGTCAAAGAGTCTAGTGAAAATCCACGCGCTGAGCCTTTGTTTGATCCGTAATTTAAATAATTCCCAATTTTCAGCGTTAAGGCAAGAAGTGATCGGAGTGCTCCATCATTTAAACTCGTTGATATCGATGAGAGCGAACGTTCAAGCTTCGAAACTTTACGTTGAAGAGAATTTGCTTCTTCAGTGAAAGTGAGATGTCTAAAATAAAAATCAACAGAGACATCATCATCCATAATGGACAGACGAGTTATCAATCAACTTCTCTAATTTGCCTACAGCTGTGCGTTCCAATGGTTTTATCTAGAAATCTCACATCAAACAACACTCAGCTTTGGATTTAAAAGATTTAATTTTCAATAATTCAACCAGAAATGCTTCCGCCTATGAAGAAGGATTATTCGAAATGTGAACAACTCAATCCTCTAATAGAAACTTGCTTTTGCAAATGTTGGTGGTGGGTCGCTTTGAAGATGCTCCTTCAGTAACTTCTCCTCCTCACTTGTTGGATACAAACAAATTAGCATTTGAAGGCTTTCAGCGTCCAATAATAATTGTTTTTCTACTTCTCCCGAATCAGATTCTTCACTTCGATCAATAAAAGGAACTAGATCAACTACAGTGCTTATTAATGGTTGAAGACTTTCTAGCAGTCCCAATCCCTTCAAGCAAATCTCAAGGTTTTGTCGTCGCTTTGCATCCAACACTTGAACTACAGATGGACTCGAGCTACTGCCTGGTCGTGACGTGTCAGCTTTTTCAGAATCTTTTTTGCGAGATTGCGGATGATCGAAGAATAAACTTGTCAATTTCTGAAGGATCAATAATTTGTTCATCTTCAATGAATCAATCATGATAAACTCACCTCATAATCAGGCTCTAAACGAACAGACTTGCTTTTGGGAGGAGAGTCTTTCGATGGCTGTGAGGTCGGACTATTCGAGTCATGAGTTGTGGATGAACGACTTAATAAACCACCAGTTGATGGTCTCGTTCTCTCTGATTGAATTGATGCTAATGGTAATTCGGAATCCTCAATAATCAGTTTTTCCCAAATCGATCCCACAGTCTTTGAGTCTGTGAATGTCTGCCACAAAAGTTTCCTTCCTTGAAGTTCACTGGGGGGTTGTCTCTGAGATGGAAGGGGGGGGAGAGTGAGTTTTTTATGGAGTGCACTCGATGGAGGTGGTGGTGGGGGCGTCTTTCCTGACCGAGAAGAAGATCAATTTTGGAGCGGATTATTACCCCATAGTTACAAATTCAAGATGACAGAGCGTCTCACCAGATTTTGCTGGTCCTTTAACAACACCGCTAACTGTTTTACAAGGGGATCTTCCGGGGGGAATTCCAGGTGGCGCACCAGGAAATCTCGAATTAATCGATTCGTCAAACTTCTTCGGGGGACACACTCCTGGCGGTTTTGCTGGGAAGATCTTCTGTTTTTCATCATTTACTGGCTTTTTTGGAGGTTCCAGTATTGACGCCTCACAATTGCTATTGCTGGAGGGAGGTCTTGAATGTTGTGTTGTTACAGTTGAATCAGCAGACCCGTTTCGTGTATCTGAAGATTTAGCATCAACTGCTTTCTTTAGTTGTTTTTGTAATTCTGCAAAATTCATCTCATCAGTCCTCCTGATTTAATGATTAGTCTTCACAGGAGGTTCCAGATTTTTTCTGGTTTAAATACTTGGCTCAACTTTTATCCAATACACCATTTTGTGTCAATTCTAGCGTCCTCTCCATTAATGGACGCTATGAGGATACAAAACCGCACGTTCACATGATATCTGCAAACGTAGGTGTCATGTTGGCCACTCTATTAAGAAGTGCACTGTCATGCAGAGGGAACAGTCTTATGCCCTGGTAGTTTGATTTTTCATTTTTTTATTGCAAAGCCTCTCCAAATGTCGTTTAATTTAAATGATTCAAAAACCAAAGATGATGCTGCAACTCAGGAAACACGTACAAAAGGCATAACGCGAGATCTTGTAACTAGAGATACACCGACACTCGATGGACTGAAGGTGAATGATATTTCAACGGCGCATTTACTTACGATGACAACATCATCCGCCACATTCGATGATGATGATGATAATGACGATGATGATATCAACTTGACATCTCCATCAGTGAATGTGAGCTACAACTCATCGGATCAAAGAAGTCCTTTAACGAAAGATTCATTCATTGAGTTATCGCAGAGCTTGGAACAACTAAGGGTGTGCGATTAAATAATGTTTCTGTTTGGATGTTTTGTTTCTCAGTCGTTGTTATCATCCTTGAATCTTGACGTTAACGATGAATTAAACAAAGTGAATTGTCCCAGAGCGGATGAATTGAACAATCGATTTCATCAAGCGCTCGAATTGATCAAAGATTCTCAATCCATTTGTTTAGAGAATTCCCGACATCGTGATTTGTGGATGATTTCAAATTTGTATGCGCTCTTGTAGAATTTCATTTTGAGTCATAGTGGGCATCAATTTATTGATTCTTACTCTCTTATTCAGAACTGGTCAAACAGTTACAATGACTCCGACAGTCGACAATCCGAGAAGTAAAGAAATCACGTTGAAGGCAAGATGCATTTTGTAATTCGTAGATCCAAACTTATTTCAGGTTGATAACTTGCTAGCTCGGTTGAAGGAAGCAACACAACTTCCTCCTGAAGCAGAAACCGCTCGCATTCCATCTCTTCCTACAACGAGTCGCGGTGGAGACAATGAGGAATACACTAGAGGAGGCTCATGGGAAGAAGAAGAGAAAGTGATCAATAAACTCATTCATGTGACAAGCAATGTAGAGGTGTGTGTGTGCAAGCCCATATGCGTCTGAAATTAATTGTTTCTCCCAGAGAGCACATCAACTTGAAGAAGAAGTCAAACTCCTTCGAGCACAGTTGGCTGTTGCAGGAGTTCCGGAAGGGATTTTTTCAGGAGGGGCGCAAGCTTCAGCTGATGCAGCAGTTTTATTAGAAGAAGCACGAATTAAACGAAGGTTGTCATTCATTTGTGGTAAAATCGTAATTCTTGTTTATTCAGATGGTTGGAAGCCATGCAACAAGGCAGCTGGTTCTTCCGCATCAGTCGAAAATTTGGTCCATTTGGAAAAGCTCTCAGAACATTGCAACGCCGTAGAATGTTTGTTCGATTAACTCCAGATTTTACATTTGTGACAATTTCAAATGTTGAAGGGAAAAAAGATGATCAAGATGCTTCCACCAAACCCCATAAGATGACTGGAATTTCACTAGATGTAAGAAGTGGCTCTCAATTTATTTAAGGAGTTTTCAAACATGTTCAGAATGTTGAGTCTTTTGATTACGGAATCCAGAGCCGTGCATTTCGTTTACTGGAAGAGGCACGTGGCGATTCTGAACATCCTGCATACCTTTGTGTTTCATTTAGTACATCAAAAGCTATGATTGATTTAATCGCCCTCAATGAACTTGATATAGAAAAGTGAGTCATGAAGTTGGATTCGTTTCCATTCTCTCTATTATTCCCGCTGTTTCATCATTCTCTCTCGTTCAGTTGGGTGCTAGGATTGAATTGCTTGATTCCGTTTTTTTCGGGCCGTCGATGCTTCACTGCAGCGTAAGCATTGCTCTTTTTTCTTCTCATGGGTTCTTTGATTTTCTGCAGAGAGTTCACTCAACAGAAAGAAGCATTAAAGAATGAATTTCTTAGAAAGATGGAAAATACAAAAAGCTTCAAGGAAAGCATAAGAAGACTGAGAACTGAAGCCCATCAATAATAGAATTGTATGTTTTCTTGTCAATGCAACAAGTGCTCCCTCGCTACTTCCAAGACTCAAACCTCATCATCATGCAGAAGCATGTTTGGAATTCCTGAGATTTGTTCGCGTGTTCTGGACAATTAGGTTTTGTCCTACCTTGCTTGATAGGAAATTTCCTTTCGCATTTGGGGCAGACCAAATCTCCTTCGAGAATATGAAACTGAAAGGAGGACCACAAGATAGACAATAGTCTCAAGGCTCTCTTTCACTGAGCTGTGCTGTAGATAGCCAAATATGAAAATCTTACATTGAAGGCCGTTTCATAAACGAGGCGAAGAAATTGTTCGTCTTCCGTGTCGCTATTGTTATAAGTCATTGGAAGATCCATATTTAGCTGTAAATGAAAACAGGTGATTCAAAAATTGAATAATACACTTACGGATGCTGCAGCGGATCTGAAAGTATCCCAATCTAATTTCTTCAAAATATTTTGCACAAACTCGACGCTAAAATTTCCAGTTTCTTCTGTTGTTGTGGCTTCGGGCGCACCAAGAACTTCAATCTTTAACGGAAATCCCCCCGAACATTGCTTCCGATTACTGCAAACAAGCAGCCCAAAGTAGGAACCACACCCCTGCCACGTAATTCCTGGTTTCTCACCACATCAAGAGATTGTGTGTTAAAAGCCTCATCGGGGAAAATCTGCCAGTTCAGTCGACCAGGTGCGTGATGCAGCATGATTCGGCAGCAGATGACGCGAGAATTTTCGATGGAATTGTTGAGGAATCTCTTAGCTTTGTTGATGCAGGGTCGAGAAATAATAACAGTGCGATATGTTCATCTGTTGTTTCGTCGCTTCATTTGTATGCCGACAAATTCTTGTCAGCCCTTGAGATTGATGCGTCCGAGACCTCAACCTCTTCAGTTGAACAAACCCCGATAACGCTCCCTGTTGCGCTCACGTTGTTGCAAGAAATTTTTCCTCTTAGTCGGATTTATCACCAATATTGGCGTCACCTGTTGTGTGGCGTTGAGGCGGCAGAACTGGCGATCCAAGAAAGATGCAGTTCACACTCTCAATATGAGCACTTTGAGGGTGTCAAACAACGCTTACACCAGTTCTACAGAGCAAAACTTCAATCTTGGCTGACAGAAAAATTAAAATTTGTCCCTAGATTTTCTTCTTTTACAAATTCGTTGCGCTCCGTAAGATTGCACTCAACGTTGTACTCGATGTCAAAGCAAGCAGGATTTTCCGCAGGATGAATGGGAGTTCTCAAATCTCTTCAGTGGCAACTCTTCTATGGAACATCTTTTCATTTTCGCATTCTACTTGGTTGTAGAGATCTCGTTCATTCTCTTCAGGCAAATTATACGTTTGATTAAATCGCTCACTTCTTCAACTGAAGTTTCATCCGAATTGTTATTGAGTTTATTGATTCGTCGTTCAAATATTGCAATGGTGTGGCTGAAGCATCTCCCATCTGATGCGCTT